GCGTAACCGGGCGCTGGCGGCTCACGCCTGTCATCCTGGCTACTCAGGAGGCTGAGATCTGAGGATCAAGGTTCAAAGCCAGCCCGGGCAGGAGAGACCGTGAGACTCCTATCTCCAATAAACCACCAGAAAACCGGAAGTGGTGCTGTAGCTCAAGTGGTAGAGCGCTAGCCTTGAGCTGAAGAGCTGAGGGACAGCGCCCAGGCCCAGAGTTCAGGCCCCATGGCCAACCAAAAAAAAAAAAAAAAAAAACCAAATGACCACACGTGGACTTCCATTCTCCTTCCTTCCTTCCTTCATTCCTTCCCTCCCTCCCTCCTTCCTTCTCTTTCTTTTGTAATACTGGGGTGTGAACTCAGGCTTGCGCTCACTAGGCAGGCATTCTACCACTTAAGCCACCCCTCCCTCCCTCCCTTTCTCCCTCCCTCCCATTTTGCTCTGGTTATTTATTCATTAATTTTATTTATTTACTTTTTGGTCAGTCGTGGGGCTCAAACTCTGGGCCTGGGCGCTGTCCCTCAGCTCTTCAGCTCAATGCGAGCGCTCTACCACTTGAGCCACAGCGCCACTTCTGGTTTTCTGGTGGTTTATTGCAGATAAGAGTTTCACGGACTTACCTGTCTGGGCTGGCTTTGAACCTCAATCCTCAGATCTCAGCCTCCTGAGTAGCTAGGATTACAGGCGTGAGCCACCAGTGCCCAGCTGGTTATTTATTTTTTTGCCAGTCCTGGGGCTTGAACTCAGGGCCTGGGCACTATCCTTGAGCTTTTGCTTAAAGCTAGCACTCTACCACTTGAGTTACAGTGCCACTTCTGGCCTTTTCTGTTTATGTGGTGCTGAGGACTTGAACCCAGAACTTCATGTGTGCTAAGCAAGCACTCTACCACTTGGCCATATTCCCAGCCCATGCTCTGGCTATTTTTGAGGTGGGGTCTCGTTTTGCCTGGGACAGCCTCGACTATAACCCTGTTCATGCTACCCTACTCATGTCGGCGGGAGCTGGCAGGCACGCACGACTGCACCCGCAGCTGGAGCGATGGCAGGCACCACAGAGCCTGCCATTGGTTAAGATGACATTTCCAGAAATTCCTTTTTGCCTGGGTTGGCCTCAAACTGTGATCCTTCTGATCTCAGCTTCCCAAGTAGTAGGACTACTGGGGTGAGACAATTCACTCACCTAAATGGCTGCACATTCTGACATTTTCCAGTCAAGGAGCAGATGAGCTTCCTGGCCCAGCCTTGGGACCACTCATGTGAGGAGGGGCTTTGTGCCACTGCTCTGCTCTGCTCTGCTGTGCAATGGAGCTGGCAGCCTGGGCACAGCACCCACATCCCAGACAGCAGACCCGCGGCAGCGGCCCCCAGACGCGCGCGGGCTCAGCCAGACCCCGCCCACCCCACTGCATCGCAGCCATCAGCGAGCTGAGGAGACCACCTTCAACACAGAACCAGCTGCGGACCAGCGTTAGTTGCGGTCCACAGGATGAACCAGCCCTTATTCCATTCCTAGGCCCTGGAACAACTTCGCTGTCTAAAGAACATAGCATTGACTCCACCTCAGTCAAGACCGGAACTCAGTTCAGCTTCAGCCAACGAACCCAGCGGCATCCACAGCCCTGATCCGTGGGGACTGGGCAGGGGCCGCGTCCACCACCCTGATCCTGTGGGGACTCTGGGCTGTGTCCACCACTCTGATCTGGGTGGGCTCGGCCATGGCACGTGCTGTGAGCCTGGTCTCCCCTGGCAGCTCCTCACCGTGGTACTTGCTGTGGCCTGGTCTCCGTCACCGTGGGACGTGCTGTGGCCTGGTCTCCGTCACCATGGGACATGCTGTGGCCTGGTCCCCGTCACCGTGGGACGTGCTGTGGCCTGGTCTCCGTCACCATGGGACATGCTGTGGCCTGGTCTCCGTCACCGTGGGATTGCTGTGGCCTGGTCCCCGTCACCGTGGGATTGCTGTGGCCTGGTCCCCGTCACCGTGGGATTGCTGTGGCCTGGTCCCTGTCACCGTGGGATTGCTGTGGCCTGGTCTCCGTCACCGTGGGATTGCTGTGGCCTGGTCCCCGTCACCGTGGGATTGCTGTGGCCTGGTCCCCGTCACCGTGGGATTGCTGTGGCCTGGTCCCTGTCACCGTGGGATTGCTGTGGCCTGGTCCCCGTCACCGTGGGATTGCTGTGGGCCTGGTCCCTGTCACCGTGGGATTGCTGTGGGCCTGGTCTCCGTCACCGTGGGATTGCTGTGGCCTGGTCCCCGTCACGGTGGGATTGCTGTGGGCCTGGTCTCCGTCACCGTGGGATTGCTGTGGCCTGGTCTCCGTCACCGTGGGACGTGCTGTGGCCTGGTCTCCGTCACCGTGGGATTGCTGTGGGCCTGGTCTCCATCACCGTGGGACGTGCTGTGGCCTGGTCTCCGTCACCATGGGACATGCTGTGGCCTGGTCTCCGTCACCGTGGGATTGCTGTGGCCTGGTCCCCGTCACCGTGGGATTGCTGTGGCCTGGTCCCCGTCACCGTGGGGCCTGGTCCCCGTCACCGTGGGATTGCTGTGGCCTGGTCCCCGTCACCGTGGGATTGCTGTGGGCCTGGTCCCCGTCACCGTGGGATTGCTGTGGGCCTGGTCCCCGTCACCGTGGGATTGCTGTGGGCCTGGTCTCCGTCACCGTGGGATTGCTGTGGGCCTGGTCCCCGTCACCGTGGGATTGCTGTGGCCTGGTCCCCGTCACGGTGGGATTGCTGTGGGCCTGGTCCCCGTCACGGTGGGATTGCTGTGGGCCTGGTCTCCGTCACCGTGGGATTGCTGTGGGCCTGGTCTCCGTCACCGTGGGATTGCTGTGGCCTGGTCTCCCCCGGCAGCTCCATCACCATGGCACATGTGTGCTGTGGGTCAAATGGAAGAGCACTAGCCTTGAGCATTAAAAGCTCAGGGACAGTGCCCAGAGTTCAGTACCCTCAGTTCAAGTCAGAGGAGGAAGAGAGGGAAGGGGAGGGGAAAGAGGGGGGAGGAAGAAGAGAAACATGGTCCCTGGTCGGGCCGGAGCACCCCCTTCCCAATGCTAAGTGGGCTTCTCGCGGGCTCTGCTGGCAGAATGACCCATGTCCCCACCTGCCTGCCCAGTGCTCACCCCTGCTCCCGTCTGCCTGCCCTGGCCGCACGGGGCTCCCCTCCCCTTGGACCCGCTGGAACCTGCTTCCTGCTGCTGAGTGCTGGGGACAAGGCAGACCATGAAGAATGTGGCAGAGCGTATCTACCCGTACTCCCAGGCCTCAGTTTCCCTTTGTGTATAATCCAAGTTCCGATGCTCTCAACCGTGGCCCTCCTAGGTCCCTACTGGCGTGGACAGCATGGGCAGCCTGGGGCTGGGCTGCTGCAGGGGGGCTGGTGTAGGCTGTCACCACAGGACACATGCCAGCGCCTGGGCCTGGCCGGCAGGGGTTAACGGGCCTGGCCACTCAGGACCAGCTCACGCGTGCGTCCTCCTCTGTCCCCCGGGCCTGTTTCCTCGGAGACACGGCAGTTAAGGCTGTTGCCAAGCAGTGCCAGCTGGCACGGTCCCTGGAGCCAGGCACCAAGGAGGCAAGGAGGAGCCTGGCAGGCAGTCCTCCGGGCAGGGGTGCGGGTGGCGCTGGTGTAGGCTTCCATCCTCCGGCAGGGGTGCGGGTGGCGCTGACTCACGGCTCTCATCCTCTGGGCAGGGGCTTCCAGCCGCCCGGGTGCTGGCAGTAGACAGCCTTCTGGGACCAGGACTGGCTGGTTCCGGTTCCAGGCCCCTTGGCCCTGGCTGGACAATCCGCCACTCTCTGCTCTGGGCGTGTGCAGAGGCCAGGGCGGCGGACCCGGGTGGGAGGGGACCGGTGTTTCAGGTGCGTGAGCACACCACCTGCCGTGCCGTCCTGTGCCCGAGCACACCGCCCTCCTCAGCCCCTGGCAGCCAAAGGCAGGCCCTTCACCGCGGAGTCTGCCGTGTGTCCTTGCCCAAGGAGGGTCTGGGCTGCACGCTAGCCAGGCACCTGCCCTGGGGTTCGATGTCAACCTCACTGGCACCAGGAATCCCCCAGCAGGCCCTTGCCAGCTTCCTTAGCCGGTGCCCACCTGCAGTGCTGCCCGTGTGCCACCTCCCCTGCCCGCTGCTCTCTGGCTGGCATGTTGGTTCTAAACAGATGAAGAGGACACACCTTGTTGGGACAAGAGCCTCTGGACCCCAGCTGGGAGCAGCTCCAAACTGCACAGGACAAACTGGTTTCAGGAGCACACATCCAGGCTCCCGGCACCCAGCACCTCTCACGTGGGGCTCAGGGAGGGCCACGTGTGCCTGCAGTGGAGAGGTGGCACCTTCGCCACCCGCCCCGGCCCCCACCACTGCCGCCAGCTCCACAGAGCGCCAACCAGGGGTATGAGGGATGGGAAAGCAGCATGGGCACACGAGGAGCAGAGGAGGCTGGGGCGTGAGGGGCTGGAGGAGGCTGGGGCGTGAGGGGCTGGAGGAGGCTGGGGCGTGAGGGGCTGGAGGAGGCGGGGGCGTGAGGGGCTGGAGGAGGCTGAACAAAGAAGTTATACATACATACATACATACACACATATATACACAAACATATATAAGCACACACATATATATATACATACATATGTACATACATATATACGTACATACGAACATACATACATACATACATATGCATGTATGTTTCTAGATGACCTACTAGGCTGTTTCAGAGTCACTACATCATTCCAGTCCTCACTCGACCAGTCAGGACTCAGAGCCTGTCTTCTCTGAAGACGGTGAGCAGACCTGTTCCCTAACCTTTGACTGAGACATTCCAACGCACACCATCTGTCTCAGAGGGTGTTTTGCAGGGTTCCTGATCACAGGACAGCTTCCTTTGTTCTGAGGCTTTTCAGCTCTTGCCTGCTCACTGACGGAAAAGTAGAGGTCTAGAGCAGGCAAGGTCCGCATTTATTTCTACTAAATAAATGCATCTGGGGACTCAAAGTGGGATGAGTCTCAAAACTCAAAGCTTTTGATATTTTTGGCTAGGCTGGCGGTGTGGGTCCCAGTCAACTGCGGTCCCAATGTGGAGAACTTGGGGGCAGATTTCACGCCTGGCCTGCCATGGGAGACGGAGGAGGAGGAGAGCGCGACTGAGGCCTGGCCGGTGAGCAGGGCCTCCTCCGGCTCCCGGATCTGCCACTGCAGCCCCGGCACGGGGTTCGGAAGGACTTGGCAGGTGCGCCGGAGACCACCAGAGACCACTGGTCTCTGTCACGCACGGCATCACTCGCAGCCGGAGCCCACACAGAAATGGCGCCGATATGACTCTGTGAGACTCTTATCTCCAGTTAACCACCAAAAGGCCAAAGTGGTTCAGCGGCAGAGCGCTAGCCTTGAGTGAAAAGGTTAAGGGACAGTGCCCAGGTCGAGCTGAAGCCCCAGGACCAGTGTGAAAAAACAAGGAAGGCACACGGTATCCGCAGAATGACACTTGCAGAGGCCATCTGGCCAGTTTACCCAATAAAATCCTGCTCCCCCTTTTCACAGCCGCACTTCCTGGCTCCCCCCCCC